CATTTCGATAACAACTTTATCATATTTTCCAATCAACAAGTGCTTCGACAAATAATAGTTTATAAACATTGATTCTATCACCGGATATTATTCACCAAAGATCTTGTAAATTTTTCGAATTTTTTACGCAAAACCAGATATCAATATTTATGCAATGAACTCTGGGTTATTGAGAGGTCAGAATCAGATCATTGATTTACGAATTAACTCGAGCTCAAAGTAACCACATGTTATCCAATACGATAACCATTTCATAATTATCCAATAGATAAAAATGTAATGACGCACGGAATAGAAATTATTTTCCACTCACCGCGAAAAAGAAAAAAATACCCAATAAAAATAGCAGAATAATTCACTTAAAATCCATTAAAAAAATCATGAAATCATCAAAGAGACAATTAATTTTTGCAGAGCAAATGGATACTCTCGTCTAAAAAAAAAATGAAATTAATTTTTCTTTGATAAACAGTTGGCATGAATTTAAATCGAAAATAGACTGTCGTTAACATCCGCGGTCGTTTATTTAGCGGATAACTGCGCGTACTTCATTGTAATTGTTGAATGGTAGCATGCAGACATTGTCATGAAGCACATAACCAATATTTCCACGTGGGGATACGATAAAGTTGTATAATGGTACGTCTGGTATGCCTGTGGCTATGTGAGAGGATAGAAAGGCCATTCTCAATTTTCCGTGGAAGCATTCTGGAAAATAGGTGCACGCGTCTAACCCACCTGTGCGGTTATTTGTAACATACATTATACCTGGTGGATAGTCATCGAATATTGCAAAAAGGGTGACAATGTGAGAATCAAAAATTCCAGTGAAAAAGAACAATGGAAAATACCGTACATTGTATTTCAGCCCCCGAATATGACTCGTTATTCAATGCGTTCATTCGATCTCCCGTTAAAATAATTTGATATTCCAATGTATTTTATTTGATTTTACTTATTCAATTCCGCAGAACGATTTAAGAAATGAGCCGACATTTTTTTTTCACCATTTTGTCGGTCGCGCGGGCCGTAAAAATTTTTGATAATTCCCGCCTTTTAAAAAAGTTTTTCGCGTAGTACTCCGCCATTCCCAAAGCAATGAAAGTACTCATGTTGATGAGTTTAAGGTACATTGCACCACCTTAGGTACATCCATTGGCGGTGCAATTACGATAAATTAATGTCGCCCGGAGGTTCGATCTAATTACGATCGCGTGCCCCACGTGTAGTCGACACGCCGTTCAATCGATTTCGGTAGATCTAGGAAGGTTGGCAGATTGGATTTGAGGGAGGGAGAAAATGGGTGTGAGAAACAGAAGGGTTAAGGGTGAGGGTATAAGATATAGGAAGAGAAGGAGGAGTTTAACCAACGGGAGAAACCTAATAGCCGAGTTACGATACTAGGAGAATCAGTTTTAGAGGATGTGTTGTGTGGTGCCGTTACTATAGGAATATCCTGCAGACGGAACCTCGATTAAACCGGGGCGAAGGGGTTGTTAAATAATACGGGGTGAAAAGGGGTCAATATTCACCACCCATTCCTCAACTCTCAGCTTTCGCCTTTAATTTCGACCGGTTAATTTTTCAAAATAATCGATCTTGCCTAGAAAAACGGAAACTTCGAGATTTGTCTAATACAATATATCGTCTTGTAAAGGTGAAGAGAAAAAAAAATGTTAAACTCAATTTATCTGACTTAACGCACTAGTGATGTGACATACATCGAGTCGAGAGACCGTTGGACGTTAAAAAAAGCCATCACACGACATCAAAGGCAAAACGAATATCCAATAGAAGAAACATCAGGGGTTGAAGTGGGAGTGGGTTGCCTGGGTAATAATCGGATCGTTAATTATTCGCGAGAACGCTGGATGCCATATCGCGCGTCTGCCAGGCGAAATATAACGCGACCACCACCTGCAGGCATCACCCACCCCCCACTATCACCCTGCCATCATCCAAATCCCCCTGCAAACACGCATACACACACATACCCTTGGCAAACCGAGAATAATTAATTTCACGCTGGCAACGCCGTTTATTACAGACCCAACAATGAAGGCTCTAGTTTTCCCACAGAACGAACTAAAAACTCATTGAAATTGTCATTCCACTTTTCCGGAAATTCGAGAACATCGGAGAGGCAGGCGATCCGAAAACTAGCTATTTTTCCAATTTTCCTTTCAACTATTGCATCCGAGTACTGAATACCGTATAAAAAATTTGCTAAAGCCAGGAATGATTGAATTAATTAATTGTGATTAATAATTCGTATTTGAAGACTGAATTTAAACTGTAAATTTCAAAATCATCATGAGTTACGATTGATTAAATTATTTTCTCGTATATATTCAATTATAGAATTGGTTAAATGTGACACACCCTAATTCCCCTTATCTCACTGGCTATTCTATTCGCTCTATCCTCAAAATATATAGTGAAGTGTTAGCTGTCACTTGGATTCGTATCCCACCGAGACGACGCGCCCAGGAGTCAGCGAAAAAGTCACTCGCTCAACATCACGCCCGCATCGGAGCGATTTCCCCTGAAACGCCAAAAAAAGGGGGGAAAAAAAAATGCGCGAAAGATGAAAAAAGTATAAATGAAAGAAAAAATAAAAATAAAATAACAAGTGATCTCTTTTCTCGATCTTTCTTCTCGTTCTCACTATTCGCACGACTCTTAGCGTCCCAGAGGAGATAGAGATATCATTTATCACATTCTGAAAATCCCCCGGGGGTAGCCCCTGCATTACGTCACATGATAAATGTACACAAACGTGATGTAAGCAGACAGCAGTGTCCTCCGTGTTCATTCAATATTCGCGAGAAAAAAATTAATTTATTCAAAAGCCAAATGGAAGAGCGCAAATAAACAATTAATCAAATGACGAAAAAAAAGGGGTGGGTACAGCTAGAGAACATGAAATTTCATCGATGTAATGGATACCAAATTATTGGTTAATTATTTTGAAATTGTCTGAATGGTATTCATTACTTCATGATTAAAAAAATAATTACGGTTTTGAATGAATGAGAAATTAGTCATATGGAGGGAATTGTAATTGTAGTTTTGCCGGTGCATTCAGCTCAAC